CAACAAGAACAAAATCATAGATCAGTATTTCTATAAATCAATTTTAAATTATCAAAGGACAAAGATTTTTCTAAATAAAAATAAAACCCCAGGTCTACAGTGGAAAAAGGACAATAATTACCCAGATAAACTTTTAGAAACAATAGTACATTCACTCAAATTGGGAGGGTAGTGCTACTTATGTAAGTAACTATTAGTTATTTACTTACATTCTGAATTGCAAAAACAATATCCTAATTGTTTGAATATATTCTGAACAGTACAATATAAAATCGATTTTTAAATAGTTTTAGCTTTGCAACAAAGTAAAGAATGGATTTTCTTTATAGCTATGATTTAAGTTGCATGACAAAAAGAAAAAAGAAACTGAAATATACAGCTGGCTGTCATGCAAATAATAAAATTGTCTATTGAGGATGGAAAATGCTTTTTGAATTATGTGATGGCGAAGAACAAGGTCACCTGTTATACCAACAACAAAAATAACAGATTTTATACAAAGCACTGACTCCTCAGAAAGGGCTTTATTACTAAGTGATTTTTTTCTATTAAAGATAACTGTTTAGGGCCTGATCCAAAGTCTATTCAAACATTCACATAAATAGTCCCCATTCATTTCAAAAGATGATGTATCTAATCCAGAACAAAAGTATGACCAGAAAAAATGCAATATATATTAAACCACAATATCCTTTATTATATGGAAAAAGGAATTTGTGTCTCATATCTCTAGCCAAACAAATATAAGAGAGAATCTTCATAGACAAATTTAATTTTTCCAAATTATTTCTAGAAATTCCTTGGTGAGTAAATGTATACTGTCATAGTTTACATTAAAATAGCCACAATTTTGCCAACATACAGCATATCCTTTACCTGTCACACTACCTTGCCAATACTGTATTTAGTCATCCTTTCTTTCCATTATACCAAAACTGTGATTATAAAATATATACTTGCTTTGATTATGACCCAAAAATGCAGCAAATTATAAAATATATTCACTAAGTTTATCACATCCTCCAAAATACTTAAAAATACACATGTAAACATGATTTGGTCATCCTTGACCTCTACAACTTGTAATCTGTATTTGGGATCTGAATAAAAACAAGTCTGACCCTGATATTTAATAATGCATTAAAAATATCTCCTATTCCAGACTGGTGTTATCAGGAATCCCACAAGCATTTAATAGTGAATGTATTACTCAACATTTATGTCTGATACTGCCACTATAAGAGAAAAAGGTAATCTGAAGAAACCAAAAGAAAGGTTAAGTAGGATAGAAAACTTATCTTAATTTAAAGATTAAACAGAAAACCTAACAACAGATTGTGTATGAATTCTGCAATCCCTGGGAATATTGTAAGTCAGTTTAGAAATAACATTATAAAAAGTTTACTTCATTTCTAAGAAGAGCAAGTAGAGTTGGAATCAATCTATAATCTATAAAGTAATATAAAATAGTAGCCAACATGAATCAAACTATGAAGATAACTATAAAGCAACAATCTACGGTAATGGCTACAGCAACTTATTTTCTGCCACGCCTTCTGGACTTTCTGCCACACCCATAAAAGTATATATCCTTCAGTAAGAGTAATGTGTGCTGCTTGTGATTTAAAATATTCCATTCATGTAAAGGCTTGTTCTTTTATTTAATTCTTTTGCTAAAATGTAATTGTTTTTAAGAAGAAAAAGATAGTCTATATTTTAATAATCCTGCTGACTCTTACTGAAGCCAGAGAATAAGAAAGTGGGGGAGAGATTCCTTGAGGTTTTTTTTTTGTAAATAATAAAAAAAAAAATCAGTGGGTACTCCTAAGGCAAGACAGGATCATAGAAATGATAATATACATATTATGTCATAGTTATACAGTGATTACGACATCTCTATCCTTCATGAAAAACCAACTGTGCCTTTTTGAAAACGTTGCTTTGCAAAGGAATGCAAATAACATTTTCCCACTCTGAAAGGACAACACTCTCTTCTCAAGAAACCCTCAGAAATCAAACCAAAAACGAAAAGAAGAAAAATAGAAGGGGGGGAAAAACACACAGAAAAGCAAGATGTTTGCAGTTAAACTGTCATCCGCAATAAATTTAAAAACAAGAGTGCCCGTAAAAGGGTGTAGATAAAAGATACAATTTAACACCAATTAATCATTCAATGGCAACTATCCCAGTAAATTAGTATGTAACTCGGCGAGGGTTAGGACAGCAAATAAAGGGTTAAGTGGGAGGCAAAGTAAAGGGGGAGGGGAGAGAAAGCAAACCCAGCTCGCCACTCAAGAGGGCCGGAGAAAACAGAGCGCTATAGAAATTTCCGAGTTTGGGGAACTTCGAGCGAGCGCGGGCTCTGGCGCTGAGAACCGGGAGGGAGCTTCTTTCTTTAAGTCACCGCGGCTGCATCCACCCCCCCCCCCCCCACAACTGAAAGTAAAGGAATAAACATGGCGAAGTATAAACAAACCTATCTCCTCCCTTACCCGCCTCCCCTCCCCTCCCCTGGTCTGCGGAACGCACAAAAGTTTTGGAAAGTTTCTGGCCGTGCCATGGCCGAAGTGGGAAGGAACAGGCGGTACACGCAGGAGCCATTGGGGACTTTGGGAAGAGGGAAAAAAGAGGAGGGAAACGCAGAATCGTAGCAGAAAAACCGGGAAAGGAAACCATTAAAAAAAAAAAAGCCACTCACCGTTCTCGCCGTGGGCGAAAGTGATCCATTGGGGAGGTAGGGGCCGCTCAGGTCGGGAATCATAATAAAGGGATACCCAGGGTACGGTGGGCCCTTAAACAACCCTCCATCTTGCCTTTTCGCAGCTAACATGGCGGGGAAACGAGGAGCCAGAAAAATAAAAGAAGGGAAGGGAAATCAGTTAGAAATCGTTTCACAAAAAAAAATCCAACGAAAACTTTAACGTACTCGAATCTACAGAAAACACAGCCGCCGCTTCCCCACTAAAGGGGAAGAAAATAAGGGGTGGCTGCCAAAGAAAAACAACTTACCTTCCTCTAAACTTTCTCTGGATTTATCTCTGAAACTTTCGGACCTAGGTGGAGGCCGCCTCTCCGCCTTAAAACAAGAACGGGGTTTTGGAGGGGGGGTCAAGATAACAAAAAGAGGGGGGACAGTGAGGAGTGCATGGGAGAGATAGGATGGTGGGGGAGATACGGAAGAAAGAAAACGAGAACGAGTTAAAAGTTTGTGCAAAACATGAGGCAAAACATACGGCAACAAGGCAATTTAGGAACGGGGGGGAAACGAAGTTAGTTGTGTTCTGCCTCTTACCCCCTTTTCCTACTCCCCCCCTCCCCCCAATCTCTTGTCCGACGATCCTCCCGCCAAAGTTGAGCGAGGCAGGTGTGTTTCAAAGGGGGGAACGTTTCTTACCTCCGAGTCGGAGGAGCTGTTTTGATTAGTTTCTGATTCATTGACCAGAGACGACTTGACGTCCGCTAAATCCCTCTCTGCCGAAGAGTTCTCCGAGATCTTCTCTTCTTGCTCCCCTTCGTCTTTAAAAGAGATCAATTCGTCGTTCGCCCCCAAATCGTCCCCTCCACCGCCATTGAGTTGCGGCATCTTCTTCCTGCCTTACCCCCACCAGCAGCAATTTTGCAAGGACGGAGCGAGAGAGAGGCAAAAGGGGAAAAAAATAAGGAAAGAAAAAGGGGGAAGGATATTTTTCTTTAAAAAAAAAAAAAACAAGGCAGAAAGAAAAGGGAGAAGTTTGTAATTTTAAGAAGAGTCCCAGGTGAAAGTTCTTTTCTTTTTCTTTCCTCTTGGGGAGGGGAACAGAGGGGGAGGAGGAGGAGGAGGAGGAGAAGGAGGGGAGGGCAGTGTCCCTGCTCCTTTCTTTTTGCACCAGTGACTTTGGGTTTCTTCTTTTCCTTCTTCTGGATTTTCTCTCTCTCTCTTTCTCTCTCTCTCTTTTCTTCCGATGATCAGATCAGCATGTAAAGACACGCGGGCAGAGACGCAAAAAATTAATAAGAAAAAAAAATTATATAACGAGGGAGGGTTAAAACGGGGGAGGGGAATTACTTAAAAAAATGGTAACAAACAAACCAAACAAATCAGCTGTAAAAATGGGAGGGGGGGTAGAAGCTGCAGATATAGGAAGCCTGTGCCGGTCGGATTTGAGTGAGTTGAAGTTAGACTGAGAGCTTTTCAGTTCAAAGGCGGCGCTGATTGACAGATAGAAAAAGGGGGATCGAAATCCAGAGGAACGGAGAAGTCTGGGATCCAGGATTATTGACAGGGAGAAAGAAACACTGGGCACTTAATGAGATGCAGGGAGGGCGGGGGATCCCTTGTGACGTGTGCATAAATAAACAGGAGGAGGGGGTAACGGAGAAACTAACAATGATCCCTTTTGGAGAGAGCAGGAAGGGGGGTTTGCGGCGAAGGCTGGCTGGCAAGCAGGCAGGCAGGGGCGACTAGGCGAAGGGAGACAATGTAGAGGGGCGAGGAGACGAACCTGTCAGTCCTAACCCAGCGGGCCAAAGCGAACAAAACTCGGGGTACATCAAACAAAATAGGGAAGGGGGCAAGGCAGGCGCTTCAGCCGTGGCTTTGCACAACCGTCAAGGCAATGAAAGCACCTCTCGGTGCCTTCGTGCTCGCACTTGGTTGCGCACTCAACTTTCCGGCGCGGTGTAGTGAAATTTTTTTAAGAGTTGCATCCGATGCACTTTTACCAGGAAGTGAATTCGGTCCTCTGGGACTTTCTTTCCGAATAACCATGCACGGGCTGGTGCTCCAGTCACTGAGATCGTTTCGCGTTTTTATTTTGCTGGGATAGTGGGGTGCTCTTTTTTTAACGGCGGTGCAATGGTTTCGATCTTCATCTGCGGCCAGAGGAGTGGCCAAAAAACTTTATATATGTATATGTATATATGTATATATAAATATTTTCTCCCTGTTTTATGGCTGAAAGAGAAGGAGAAAGCGAAGAAAACTGAAAGAGAAGGAGAAAGTGAAGAGAACTGCGGTGGTGGCGCGGCTTCCAAATACTTTTGTATCGGATTTGAAAGGGCTGGGTGGGTGGGGGGGAGGGTCCTGGCGCTTCAGTCCAGCACCAACCTGCGTAGCGTAGCTCGAAAAGAAGCCCCGCGATTTCGCGGTGGGTTTTCCCTGGAAGGTCTCTGGGATTCGAGTCTACCGCGCGTTTCCTCGGGTGTGAGTTTCACTGGGCTTACTCCCAAGTAAGCGCCCAAGCCTTAAGAACCCGCAGGCAAAGTGCACCACATCTGGCTTTCTAAGAGCAGGATATCAAAGCCCCAAAACAAGGAGAAAGACCTTTATGAATTTTCCTTTACTTGGGATAGTTTGGTAGAGTAGACGGTAGGAAGAGATGGATGGGACCAGTTAATCGTCCCGCGGGAGAGTCGAAAACAGTGGGACTTTTTAGAAAGAAACTTCTTGTTTTCTTTCTCTTCTGCCACTACAGTTTTCCTTTGACTTCCCGCCATCAGAAAAACTCCAAACGAAGCCAGAATAGGCTCTTCAGAAGAAACACTGCTGCGTGTGTGTGTGTGAGAGAGAGAGAGATCCAACTGTGTGGTCCCCATAGCTGGCTAGTAAATGAATTGCCAAATATAGATTATTAGGGGAGGGGACGGAGGCTGGGTCGTGTAACTCAGGAATGTGCAACACGACATACTCTTCTGCAGTGAGTGATCAGCTTAAACTGGGGAGAAGCAACAGAAGAGGGACGTGGCTGCTAAAAATGACATCTGGCACCCGATTCTACTCTGTTGATGAGTGGAGTAAAACAAATTGATCTTCCAGAGTGACAAATTGTAACAATGGAGGAGTCAAATGGAAACTTTAACATGACCAAGGAACAAAAGTAGCAATGGGAGAGAGGGAGGCAAGAGGAAAAGACACACACTGAGTATGTTCAAGGGGAATTAGTAAATTGCCTAATAGAAATGGTGTCAAAAAGCAAAGGAGGGGCTGTTTAAACAAACAAGCATTTCCCAAAAAGCATATAGCTTGCTGCTCCCTAAGAGCCTCCTGAGCTCTCAAGATTTTCAAAACAAAGCTGATAGGTCATGCAATATTTACAGAGTTTAGAGGGAAGACACTCAGTAAACTATCTGTTCTGGGAAAGAAAAAGAAAAAATAATGCAGAGATTGACATAGCTATGCTACCACTAAGCCACTGTAGAAAATCACATAATCAGTTCCATTTTAAAGGGAAAAAAATCGGGCTATAATATTAATTTTTTAAAAAAAATTGCAACTTAAGGAAAACAAGAGGAACATAAAAAGAGGTAAAATAAATGTGTATGTTTAATCAGACTGGATTGCATAGGACACAAAGAAAGGGGCTAATTACTCTCAGCAGGTAGGAACTAACCTTCAGACTTCATAAATAAATAAATCAGTGAACAATGTCTAAGTGGGAAGGTGGAGACAGAAAAGGATTACTGAAGACACACACACACACACACACACACACCCAAAAAAAGGAGGAGGAGAAAAAAAACACTTCTCTACATATGGATGTAATAATTTCTTCTGGGTTTTTTCCCTTTCAGACATTATGAAAAATAACTGATAGAGGACATCAATTTTCCCTGATCAACAATAGTGTTCCTAATAGGCTTGTTTAAAAAAAGAGAGAATTGTTTTATGGAATTATGAATTCTAGCCAAGAAAGTGAAATCTTATTATCTAAAATATTTGTAAGTCAATTTGTTAAAGGTTGGAGGTTTAGATCCAGCCACCAGAAAAATAAATAGCTCAAAATTCATAAGAACGGGTACTGATAATCAAATAAACACTAAAATTTAGAACAATCTCCAATCACACAAACACCCTGAAATTATCCATTATCCGATTTCAGTGACATGTCAGGATGATTCCTGGAAAAAAAATATTTGCAAGATCTTGTATAGGATGGCCAAAAATACCATAACATTTCCATAAGCCAATCTTTTTAAATTGCTTTATATTTGAGTAGCCTGGGACTGTCTTGTACTTTTCAAGTTGAGACCACTTTGAATTTGATACCTACTTAAAGCATTTATTTATATTTATTGAATGTCTGGTTGATCTTTATTGGGCTAAGTCTGGAGTTATTACAGAATTATGCCATAATTTAAAAAGTTTGCTTTGTGAGTTTTAAAATATGCTGGTGTCAGTGATTTCAATGTTACGATATCAAAGTTTAGTGCTACTGTACAGATCTTATATTCCAGTATATAAAGAGCCCTATCAAAAATCTTCAGTGATCTCTCTCTTCCTTTATTAGGTACCTTCCACTCTTAGTGAACTTGTAGCAGCCATTCCTTCAGACTGCACGATTGGGAAGGAGGAAGACAAACCCACTTCACAAGTTTGTTGAGATTGTGTCACTTCCTGAACTGTTTCCATACAGGTTTTGTGTAAGAACTGGTATATATTTTGTCTTATTCTTTCTTTCCTACACCTTTTTTTAAAAACTTCATTTTGTGTCATGCCTTTTAGACTAAAGCTACAAAAAGGAATTCTTTGATTGTTATTGATTTATAAGTCACAAAGGACTCTTCTTTCAGCAGGCTTTAAATATAAACATATTTAGATTGGATCCAAAGGAAATTCTTACAATTGAAAATTGTGAATACTGGTGTGGCTACAAATTCTTTAATGGGATCAGTTCTTAGAATTTGTTTATCCATGACTTGTGGCCACATTCACAAATAATTTAAAATTTAAACTTACTGTTTATTATTAATCAGTTTTATTTTAAAATATTTTAATAGGAATAATCCAATGAAGTTGAATGTGGAAATTTCACAGTAAACAAATACACATTTATTTATTCCATTTATGCCATTCAGGTTGTATTTGAACTTATATCTGGTTGGTTATTTTCATGGCAGAAATGGACAAACTTATTCAGCAGGACACATTCTTAAGTTCATCAAACTTTGATCCCATTGAAATCTGATGGACCATTTCATTATTTAAGTTGCACTGATTTCATTGAGAATACAGATAGTTAATATATGGATTGGATATCTTTCGTTAAGATATCCTAAGTTGCCTATTTCTTTTATTTATGCCATTATAGATTATTAATGAATTGCATTATAACATCATTAAATAAAACATGGTTTATTTATTGATATATTTTAAAAAATCAGAATAGTTTGCAAATTTCTGTAAGTTTGTATTTACTTAGATCTATTATCCAATAATAGACAAGTAAATACAGTAAATAAGCAATAACTAAATTCAGATGAAATGTGATAAAAGCATGCACAGTATTTTATGATGTAAGATCTTGTGATAGAAGGAAACTATAAGAAAGGTTCATAATCAGGTTTTCATAAAATAAGCAACTCAATAAAATAGAATTTAATGTTTAAGCAGATGTATATAGTACATATGTCCACCATAAGCAACTCAATAAAATAGAATTTAATGTTTAAGCAGATATATATAGTACATATGTCCACCAATGTTGGGTGATAAATACTGGGACATTTGGAGCAATTTCTGAATAACCCTATATCATTCAAGAGCCCATGTAGGACATTACCAGCTGAACCCAAGGGACGGGTCAAATGTGTTATCAGTCATGAGTCCCTTTGTGACCACAAGAGATCTAAGTGCAGTACACCTTGAATTCCTGTGACTCTTATCTACCAGCAATTTGCTTGGGCATTAGTAGTTCAGATTCTTTTATAGAGCTTAAGCTTGCAATAAATCTTTATACCAATTTAAACTTCACAGAATTCCTGATTTCCCTGGTGCTGGACAGCCCAATCTTGAATTCCAATCAGTGCTCTTTTTAGTATAGGACATTCCACATAAGTCAATACAACTTAATGTCTGGTTCTGATATGAGATTTTGAAAATCAAAGCCAGATTTTATATATCCTGAAAAATGAAAATGAATATTTTCGTTTTATTTTTGTTATCTGGCTGAGGTAATATTCATAGGCAAAATACAGTTTTATGCAGGAATGAAATACAAGTATCTATAGACAACATATCATTGAAGGGTGTTTGATAAATCTTACATTTAACAAAGTATTGGCTAATATATTATTCTGACACTAAATATAATATAATTGGCAAAGTTAAAAGTTCTTGTGGACGGCCTGTGGAAAGGTTGTCCAAAATTACAGCTATTAAAGGAATGTGATAGAGCTAATTATCAAGGCGTGTGACAGTAAATGATTTCTCTTTAGTCATTAAGGGAGGGAGGCATTGAAATAAAGCCGCTAAAATATTATGCTACCACATAATCAGAATTACAGACCATGCAACAGTCAAATGATATCAAGAAATATGGATTTTCAAGTGGTCTCCCATGCTCCTATGATGATTTGGATAACCATTGGTGGTCCAATCTCAAGGATCATTTTTATAGTAGGACATATATATGAGTAAATTCACCCATGGATATGCCCCCTTCTCTAGCCTGGCACTTTGCCAATTCTTCCTTGGCAGTATGTACCTTGAAACCAGTGGTGGGATTCAATTTTTTTTTACTACCAGTTCTGTGGGCAATGGCAGGGGAAGGATACTGTAAAATCTCCAGTCAGAAGTGGTGTTTGTCAGTTCTCCGAACTAATCAAGATTTCCGTTACCAGTTCTTCAGAACTAGTCAGAACCTGCTGAATACCACCTCTGCTTGAAACTTCAGAGAAATAGATACAAATTATAATTTTATGGGTATAAGAACTGAAATGATCAGGTTCAGATTAACCAACCACCTACATCAAATTAAAAACTTTCCAAATTATGAACACCACTATGTCAGGATCTGCCAACGCAAACTCCTAGAAGATAAACCTTCAGTGATAATTTTCTGGTTGGTGTCAACTTTGTAAAATCAAATATTTACATTTGCAAAGAAATGCACATACATAACTTTGACAATTTTACAATCTTTCATTGAGTTCACTGGAAATAATTTAGAAGTGAATATACTAGGTTCAACAGCATTTTTTTTTTTAAAGAATCAGGAACTTGACTATAAATCATAAACACCTGTTTGCACTAGGGTTCTCATGTTGTATCTTGAATGAAAACAAATGCAGAGTTTGCTACAACTAAAGTAATACAATATTCAAGGGAAAATTCAGTCTGATCCTTTATGTGACTTGTGATTTATGGTCTGTTGCCAAATTTTAACTAACAGCTGCTATTTTGTCTAAAGCAAGTGCTTGAAGCATGGGCTTCCAAAAAATTTTAGGCTGGATTGTTGTCTTTTAACACTAAAGAAAAGTCTGCTTTTCTGCAGTGCTTCCTTAATGTTGGAATAATATACATAATAATTCTCTGATGATAAGATAGGATGATGGTGCACCTTCTATATCAAAGTCTTGTTATAGATTTTAGTAAGTAACATACTATCTCAATTGATTGGATATTGATGAGAAGGAAATTTCTTTAACTTTAATGGGAACTGAAAATGACCCTAAGACTTGACCACATTATTCACAGTTCTAACAAAAATTGATAGAACCAGTAAGTTCAAAATACTGTACATAATATAAACATTTTTAGTTATTACACTGTTTCAATTAGAAATAGTTGAATACATAACAAAAGTATACTGCAAGTGGAGCTGGCACATGGGCATAGTTTCTCTCTCCCTCCCTCCCTCCCTCCCTTCTTCTCTCTCTGTGTCTCTTTCTATCTCTATCTCTCTCTATCTCTATCTATCTCTATCTCTGTGTGTGTGTGTGTGTGTCTCAAACTGTGTAAAACTGAAAAGTTAGCCAATATTAAAATTGCTAAGCAGCAAATACAGAAAGTAAAAACAAAATGATACACAGAAGTAAAACAAAAAGCCCACAGTAGTAAGATGAAATAGGGAGGAAGATCAGTTGATGGCTGTTCTGGAAACCTGCTGAGTTGGATTCCTCCTTTTTCAGCCTTGTGACATATATGGAGACATAGGATATTCATGGCCAGAAAATCTTTTAGTCAAAATTAAGTTCTACTATCAACTTCTTGGAAGTCCTCTTAGACAAATAATTCAGAGCATGCCTAGTACATCTGTAACTACAATCTAGAGATGGTAACATTGGCATAATTTGCAACGGTAGTGTTCAAACATTGTAAAATGAAATAATGATAGATATATGATCAGTTTCAAATATGATTTAATACAAGAATGAATGTTCTAGGTTCTTCTTTTTCTGTTCCTCCTTCTGGTTAGAAGAAACTGTCTTGGTTTTCTTATTCTGTAAGCAACTCAGAGGGCCATTTAGGTGAAGTATCAAATAATAATGTATTTTTGTTTTTACAAAACCATTTTAAAATGCCACCTTATATAATCAATTGAAAAAACATGTAGAGAAAATTATAAATGTTTAGATTGCAATTATGGTACAGCATTTTAAACTGTTCTCTTATATCAGACTTCCTGACAGAGGAAAAGTACTGTTCATTTATTCATTTGTTTGTTTTTTAAATGTATATACCTTAATGTTTGTCACTAAGCACTGCCTGGAGCTATAACCAACATAATGAAACTAAACTTTTTAAATGCAAGCAATTAGAAATACCAAAAGCGAATGGTTTTTACTTCAGCCTTCTTCCTGATGTTCGATTTTTCAAAAGTTCTTTTACAAAGGACAACATTTAAAAATGCTGTTTTCCATCTGTTGTGCAGATATAACCTATAATCTCAGATACATACACACTACTTGAAGGATATAGGTGCATAGCAATATAGAATCTCACAATTGTTTTATTGGTGTTCTTTCAAAACCTACACATTGTTGCCAGAGGAATGTATCCCATATGAATGACATTATCCAGATATGTGTGTGCTACTCTTAAGCTGAATGTGCTATCTTGGCGTTAAGTTAAATTTGTTTTAACCATGTTTATTAGATTTATATTCTATTTTTATCACATGAGTTCAAGGTAACTTCATGAAGATCTGTTATTATTACAGCTACTGCTCTGTCAGAAAAGATAACCTTAGAACACGGGACTGGCCCAAAGTCACCAGGACAGCTTCCATGCCTGAGAATAGACTTGGTTTTTCCTATTCCTGGTTTTAAATATCAACAACTGCCCTACAGTTGGCTGGGTTCATTATTATTTAGCATGACATATGAACCTGTACATTTGGTAGAGTAGACAGAGAAAGTTCAAGGGACTTGAGTTAAATCCCTATTTGATTGTGTAGCTCACAGAGAGACTTGGGATCAGCATGTAGCCTTGGATAATCTCCTTTATAGACCTCTAAAGCTAAAAAGAAGATACAATGTGTGGTGTCTTGAACTCCTTGAAAATAAGGAAAGGATACAGTTCTAAAACATATGTATCTTGCTGCTAAACATTTGCACTTACAAACTGTATTGTGCTATATTTTGTTTAAGTGACTGAAGAGAATCACATTAAGTTACAAGAAAAGTACTCTACCAGTTAAAACAGAATTT